CACCCACACCCACACCCACATCTTAATACATTATATATATATATATATATATATGCTTCCATTCCATGACTTTGAGAACTGATTCATTGACATACATGGAATGGCATGTTAGCATCCGGTAAAGTGAGTGAATCAAGAGAAAAATGATCGGTGATAAGGAAAAAATATTGGTGTATGATTCTATACTAGCAAGAAGTTTTAGCAGGTACGAACAGAAGAAGCTTGGCTATGGAGCTTTCGTTTGTTGTCTGCTAATTGCCTTCGCCTTCTGTGCTTTCTTCAAGCCATATTTTACCGACTCTCTACCACCTCGTAAGTATACACACACACACACACATAATCCACATTGATCTCTAAACTTTTCCTTTCTGTACAACATATATATGTATGTATATGTTTAATGGGCGTAGTACATTGCAGTGAATTTGCAGCTGGGTGCCAAAATGTTGTTGAGAGTGAATGAGACAAGTGGGTTCGAAATTCAGAGAGCCAAAACCATTGACGAAAGAAGAAATGCAGAAATGGTGATGAGCATGAAGTTAGCTGTGGCGAACGACTCTGATATTCGTGATGATCAGATTAGAATAAAGAATGGTACAAGAAGTTCTTCCATGGCGGTCGAGAAGAACACAAGTAGCTCTGGTGATGATCGAGATCTGTATAATAAGGAGACAGCAAGCTATCAGATACCAAGTTCGGTTAATAAGACAAGTAGTTCGCAACGTATCGTCCAGAGTAAGCATGCAAATCCAATATCGCAGTTTTTTTTTTTCTGCAGTTTATGGATTGCATGACAGCAGAATATTATATATATATATATATGTATTTTACTGATTGCACAGTTTTTTCACAAGCCATCTGTTTTTTACTGTATAAAGCTGCTGTCTTTATTTGATTAGTAAAATATATATAATTGAGGTTAAATACTTAGTAACTTCCTAGATAATAATTAATTCAAATTAACTAAAAAATATGTAAACTAATTTACAATTATAGTATGCATCAAGAATAAGATCATCCACACTATTTCACATCATTTTCTAGCTCTTCTTTAAAAAAAAAAAATCAAAATCACCTCATAATTTTGTAAAAAGTAATGTACATTTTCGATTTGCATATGAATTTTTAATTGTTTGAAATAATTACTACAATTACAAACATATAAAATCTCATTTGGAAATAAAGTAAATTAGCTTCTTTTTTTTTTTTTTCGCTCTTCATGATCAGGTACAGATACAAACATCACAAAGAATATGAATCCAGTTTTAGTCTGCTCCTCAGAACCAAGATCAGACTTTTGCGAGATCGTTAATGGTGATATAAGAATCCACGCTAAATCCTCCACTGTTTACATCTCATCATCTTCTCCAATCTCAACACAAAACTCTTCATGGTTTATCAAACCCTACGCTCGAAAAAATGATGAAACGGCCATGAGCAGAGTAAGAGAGTGGCTGATGAAAACAGAGAAAAACACAGATCAGATTCCTCCATGCACGAAAGCACATAAAGCTCCAGCAATACTTTTCTCTCTCGGCGGATATTCAGGCAACAATTTCCACGACTTCACAGACATAATCATTCCTCTGTTTTTAACTTCTCGTCACTTTAATGGCGAAGTTCAGTTTCTTGTCACGAATCTCAAATCAGGGTGGATTCCAAAGTTCAGAGAAGTTATAGAAAATCTGTCGAAGTACCCAGTTATTGATATTGATAAAGAAGAAGATCAAACCCATTGCTTCACAACCGCCATTGTTGGACTCAAACGCCATGGTCGAGCAGAGTTGATGATTGACCGGTTAAAAACTCCATACTCCATGGAAGATTTCAGGGCTTTTCTCCGATCAGTTTACTCCTTACCGGCAATCACAACCGCCGGGAAAAGCAGAAAAAAGCCGCGACTTCTAATTATATCGAGGAAAAAAACTCGGACTTTCAGCAACCCAGATGAGATTTCCAGACTGGCAAGAAACATGGGATTCGAAGTAATTGTTTCAGAGGCAGACGTGGGAGTTGCGAGATTCGCAGAACTCGTAAATTCTTGCGATGTGATGATGGGTGTTCATGGAGCTGGGTTGACAAACATGGTGTTCCTCCCTGAAAATGCGATCTTGATTCAGATTCTCCCCATCGGAGGGTTCGATTGGCTGGGGAATTTCGACTTCGGGGGACCATCGAAGGAGATGAAATTAAGGTACTTGGAGTACAAGATCAAAATGGAGGAAAGCACATTAATTCAACAGTTCCCAGTTGACCATCAAGTGATGGAGAACCCTTCTGCAATTCTGAAACAGGGATGGGAAGCGTTTAGGTCGGTTTACTTGGTAAAACAAAACGTAAATCTTGATGTTAGTAGGTTTAAACGCACTTTGTTGAAAGCTCTTGAACTTTTAAATCAGTAGATATAATATATATACACATATATATGTCTGTGTGTATATATATATATAATAGAAAAAGAGAGGAATTAAGATAGTGTACTACACAGAACTAGTGAAGATGGGGTCGTGGCCACCTCCAAAAAAATTTTAGTAAAGAACATTTTTTAGATCAGTTAATTTGCTTTAAGAAAATCAGAGAAGCTTCTGAAACGTTTATGTTTGAATGTCAATAATTACGGCACAATAAATTTTTCCATTCATTATTACTAAGAACGTATTGGAATCCAGAAAAACTGTTCCAGACCTTTGAACAATTTCATAAATAGAAAATTAAATACTGATAATAATATCTTTAAGATTGTGCAAAATCAAATTCTCTTTTTACACCTATATTTTGCCTAGTCTTGAAAGATTTATGTAGTCCTATATTGGTAATTACAAAGCATGACTTGTTCGTTCCTATCTCTACTTATTATAGGTTATAAAATCTGATTTTCTTTTCCAAAAAAAAAAAAGAAAAAATCATTAATTATTTATCTAGTAATATGCCAATTTATTATATATAATCCAGTCAAACATAATCACTTATTGTAGGATAATTAACAGTTTTCCTGTATTAATATCTAGTATTCCCCTATCTTGTGCTTACAACTTTCTCTTTAGATTATATATTTCCTAGTGCTATAGAATTTTAGTATACAAAAACACCCATATCTATACAAGTTTTTTTTAGAAATACAACAAGTACATTGTGAATATAAATACATATATACACACACACATGAGATAAGGGAAAAGATGGTGTACTATTCTAGAATTGCAAGAAGCTTAAGCAGATATATGAGAAAGTTGGGGTTTAGAGCAGTCGTTTGTTGTCTGCTTTTACTCTTGATCTTCATTGCTTTGTTTAAGGCTTATCTCGGTGATCGTCTTCCAGTGTGTAAGTCTACATTAATCTGCCATAAACCTAGAATTTCTGATCTTTAATTTCATTTCAGATCGAGTCGAGTTATCGGAATTGTGTCAAAAAAAAAAAAAAAAAACTTGCTATCCATAGTTTTTTCATGAGAGGTTGAGTCGTGTTATCAAAATTGTGTCAAAAAAACCTATTATTCTTAGTGTTCTTCATGAGAAACCCTATGTGAGTTCTAACAATTTAGAAGGTTAGGAAAACAAACTGTTATAGTATATTAGAATTCTTAGATGAAGTTTATTTGGTTATAGATAAGGTTACTCAGCAAACATACAAATTATTACAGATACATTATACATATATATATATTTATCTGAATACTTTCTTTTAGTCTTAAGTTGTAGAGAAAATTATTTTCTTATCTAGTACGAAAGTCTGAGATCATAGTTTTTGTCCTCCCTTTTCTCATATTTGATAAATATTATAGGTTTAATTTCCCTTGGGAAGCTGTAAGTATCTTGGTCATTCTGCTTACACGTAATTTTGCTTGAATGTAAGAATTGTTAAAATACATTGTAAATTATGAAATTAAGTTTTCCTACATGTTTAAGCTTTTGATATAATTAATTATAATTTATATATACTGAAATCCTAACTAAAGTTATTTCTTAATATATTGTTTCTTTTTTTTTTTTCCGAATTTCAGATACGATTTCAAGAAAGATGAATAAAGTCCAAATATGTACCTTTGAATCAAGATCGGACTTCTGCGAGCTCATCAACACCGATGTAAGGATTGAAAGCAAGTCCTCCACTGTCTCTGTCATATCTTCTTCTCCATTTTCATGGAAAAATCCTCCGTGGCATATTAAACCTTACACTCGAAAAGGCGATCAGACTGCCATGAGTAAGGTCAGGGAATGGCTTGTAAAAAAGGCAAAAAACGAAAGAGACCATATCCCTCAATGCACAAAAATGCACAAGTCCCCGGCAATACTTTTCTCCCTTGGAGGATACGCTGGTAATAATTTCCATGACTTCACAGACATTGTAATTCCTCTATATTTAACATCAGAACATTTTAATAGAGAAGTTCAATTTCTTATTACCAACAACAAACCAGGATGGATTACCAAATTTAAGGAATTAATAACAAAATTATCAAAATATCCAGTTATTGAGATTGACAATGAAGATGGTCATATCCATTGTTTCAAGACTGTTATTGTTGGCCTTAAACGCCATCATGGTCACAAAGAGCTAACAATTGATGCATCAAGTTCTCTACATTCTATGAAAGACTTCAGAAATTTTCTGAGAACTGTCTACTCGTTACCTAGAACTACTGCAATTAAAATAGGAGATGGTGATCGAAGAAAAAAGCCTCGGATTCTTATTATAACAAGAAAAAGGACTAGGTCCTTTACAAATCCAGGTGAGATTGTTGAACTAGCAAAACAACTGGATTTTGAAGTAGTTGCTGCAGAAGCAAGTATGAACTTGGCGAGATTTGCAAAGATTGTGAATTCTTGTGATGTGATTGTGGGCGTCCACGGAGCTGGATTGGCAAACATGGTCTTCCTTCCTGAAAATGCAATCTTGATTCAGATTATTCCAGTAGGAGGGTTCGAGTGGCTGGCAAGCTTTGACTTTGGGCAGCCATCGGAGGGAATGAACTTGAGGTACTTGGAGTACAAAATCAAAGAGGAAGAAAGCACATTAGTACAAACTGAGCATCGAAGGGTTGTCCCTCCAAGGAAATGGGAAAAGTTCAAGACAGTCTATTTGAATAAACAAAATGTGACACTTGATGTTAATAGGTTTAAACCCACTTTGTTAAAAGCGCTTGAGCTTTTACGTCAGTAGACAGTGTGTTCCAATTGACTTGGTGCTAGTAAGTTTAAACCTAGTTTGTAAAATGCGCTTGAGCATTTGTATCAGTAGACATATAGTATTGTAATTGACTTCTTTCTTTTCAAGTGTACAAGTTAATTTTGGAGAGAACTCCAAAACTGAAAACTAAAAGCTATCTAGCAGATAATTTTCAAGATACAGTTCCAATTTATCGAACACTTTATAATTATTGGAGGCTAAAATGTGTGGAGTAAAAATTTTCTCAAAACACTTTTTCCAGCTAAAAGTAACATAGTTTTGTCCATTGGAGCTAAAGACCATGCAGATAGACAAGTGAATCCAAACACCCCTGTAGATGTATCTGATCATTTCTTCATTTAACAGAAAGCAAAA